GCTCAGCAGTGTGAGTAGTCCCTCGAGACAACAAGAAGGTTTGAATCCATAATCTCCTGTATTAAAGCCTCTACTGTAGAAATACTTGACCTAACAACATCATCAGCTACTTATGAGACAGAGAAGAGCTAAAGCTTTTTCACCTATTTGTTACTTTTTAAACGTTAGTAGAAGGTATTCATCTAGCCCTAGCTTTCTGTCAGGTATGAAATGAGAATGTGCATAGTGTCTTTTTCTTGAGGTAAATTACCTACATCCTTCAATAAAAACAACTAGAAAGCACCATCTGAATCAGTCCCTGGCAATCACAGGAACAGGAATCTAAAAATTCCATGTCAGTTACCCCAACAAGATACATTGCCCTGAATTAAGATTCTTTCATATGCCAAGGCCAAGAGCTATTTAAACTAGAGTGTGCCATGGGAGGACAGCAGGGAAGACTGTCTGCATTTACTCTGTTTTGTTGAATACCTACAGAAGAAAATTGATGTCACCCCACAAAAGCATTGGGCTGTGTCTCTTTGCAGGTATGAATTTTACTGCTCCGTATGTAGGTTTGCATCCACTGAAATCATTCCTTGTTCAAGTGATGTGAAGACTCAGTGCAAAGGCCACACTGTTTTCTCTACGTGCTGTCAGGAACTGATTCAGATGGGGAAGAAATGGACTGTGAGTGTGAAACTCACGAGACTGGCTTCTAGAAAGGCTAAGTCCTTGCTGCAAGAATGGCATAACTACACAAACAAGGCTGACATTTTCCTCTGGCAAGGTATACGGGCTGCATGCTATTCCCAGGGAGGGAGAGGTAACATTTTCACTGCTGATCAAATCACTGTTACAAACCAGATCCTAGGATCAGCCCCAAGTTGAGTGGATATTAAGAGAAGGAGATGTATTTCCCTTTTCAACCTAGAAATTCATCCATGTCCTAGGAAAGAAAGAGGAATCTCTGCTTGAAATGCATAAGAAATCCTTCTTGACAAGTCAACTGATGCTAGGCTATCTGAACATCAGCAACACTAAGTCACCTCAGTCAAAAACTTCCAAAACTTACTGCAGACAGATGCTGCTGTTGATCTAAAGAAACTGTTCCTGACCTCCCAGCACAGGCTACAAATCTGTTTTCCAGAATTTCACAATATTTACTAAAGCACCTTTGCTTCTCTTTTATAAAGAAAAATGTGCCTTGTCCTCTGGGCAGCACAAAAAGAAACCCTGTCAAATGTAAATACCCACAGTAGTTGTCCAAAGAATTCCTGATTCCTATTTTCAGCTTATTGTGTGACTCTGGGCAAATCATGGTGTCTCTGCATGGTACCAGTTTACAAAACACAAAAGTGTGTGCTTTACGTGTTGTGGAGCTTTAGTGCTTTGCTGAATCAGAGCCAGTCTGCTCCAGTTTCCCTCTCATAGCATGGGGACAATGATGCCACCTCTCTGTATAAAGAGTCCTTAGGACTTACAGATTAACTTTTCCCAAAGGAGAAAACATTCACATTAGTCTGGCTCCAGCTGTGATTACCTCAAAGGTAGAGTCCCAGAAATATTTCTGCATGTCACTGTAGCCTAGTTGTGGTCCCAGTTCAGTGAAATACAAGACAAGACACCTTCAGAACTGACAGAGCAGTAACAGGCCCTAAAATGTTGTGAACCAGGACTGATCCCATTAGTGCAAACCAGACCGACATCAGCAGAATACACCACTCTTCTCTCAGAGAGGAGCATAACAATGCTGGTATTCCTATAAGCCAAAGGGCACCACCAGGCTGCTTGAAACCCAGGCACACAGAGCTGCATTCAGGATTTGGGCTTCAAGCAGTCATGGCAGAGCACATGGCAGAGCACAGACCTCCGCCAGGACTAAACCCAGGTCTTGAGAAGGTGTCGTCAGGCAAAATCCAGCCGTGCACTCTCTGGAAGCATACACTCTTCTTTGCCCGTGGTTTGGGCTAAAGTGTGGAATAGACGCTTTCCACATCACCCTATTATCCAAACCCCCCTGGCTGCCTCTTCTGATTTCTTCCTTTGTTTGCCAAAACAAACCTCCAAAACAAACCATGGAGTTTGTTTCTTCAACCTGCATAGAGTTACTTCAGCCTTGTTCTGCATAAAATCACGCAGCATGTGGAGATACAATACCAAGACACCTGGATTATCATTAGCCATCAGGTGTTGGACTCATTACACCTGTTATAAGGAAAAAGGATAATTAAAGGGGAGGAGGGGGAATTACATTCCACTTAATTCCACTCACAGCATTGCTGCATTTTATCAATACCTTCCTGCCCCTTTTCACTATATGACCAAAGCATTTTTTGCAATATGCAAAATTACTTCTGCCTTATGCAAATGGCTCTAAAGATGAGTGAACCTCCTTAGCCTGAGCAGATGTTTATCATCAGAAAATAATTTGTCAAAAGGTAGAGAGACTCATACTACTCATTTTCAGAACAGCTTCTTTCACTTTGGAGAGTAACTAGACTCAATTTAATTGCAAATGGGCTGCATGGTCCCCAGAATAAGGACAGGAAAAGCAACATGAACGTGTGCTATTTTTTAAATAAAAATCTTTCTCAAAATAAAGGACTTGCGTCCTATTTCCTCTGGGACAATTGCTGATTCCTGATTTAATCTCATATTCACTCACATCTACTTAAGTTGATTTTGGGGTTTATGATAAAAATGATAATAACTAAATAACCAAATAGAATTTTATAAGAATATTAGTTTTATAAAGCTTAGAGAATAATTGTATATTGTTTTAAGTAACTATGGAACACTGTGTAACCATGTAACCAGCTATGCTGCTATGAGCTCATCTGTAAAGTCTCAGACCAAGATTGCATGGGCCACATAGTTCAATAATTATTAATCTTGAAATAATACTTTATTGTTTTGTATGTCAAAAGGTAGAAATTTAGGTAGGAAATTAGAGAAAATGAACTGGAACAACCTGCCTATGTCTGCCAAGTTATGAAGAAACTCGGTAAAAGGTTAATTCCGACAGGGGGGGATGGCGACCTCCGACCCATTGACCCCCAACTCTTATTACAGCCCAGACTCACTTCAGGACTCCAATGCGCATGACCAGGAAGAGGTGTGGATATTAAAATGATTTACAGGAATTTAAATGGTTGTATATGAGCACTTGATTAACATGTCTGACCGTATCCTCTATAATCAGCCCATTACACCAGTCAGGGGGGTGTTGTTGGCGAGATGACTCCCCTGTGCCCCCAGCCATTTATAAAGGAGGGTTTGTTATCTACATCACATTGGTGGCTTGTATGAAAGACTGTACTAATGTCGAGTGTACAGGCTAAGGAATTACACACCTTTTGAACAATCATACCCTGCCCTACAAGGAGCTTTATGATGCTGACCTACAGGAGACTAACTGACACGGCTGGAGGTTTAACAAACTCACGCTATGCCACATGGGATAATCTAGAGATTTAAGATAAAAGTTAAAGGCCTGATTCTCATTGGCTTCAGAATGCCAGCTGAAAGTCTGAGGTCAATTGTACTGTCATTACATAGAGAGAAATCAGCTCCCTCATGCCCCAACCAGTGCTGAGATTTCCATGGGGAGAGATGCTCTTCCTGTGCCTCCTCCTTCCAGGAGTCTTTTTCCTTTATCTTTGTATTACAAAACACACAACTGCCTTGGGAATATCTTGCACAGTCTATTATTAAAGCCACACACATATATAAAATTTGCTCGTTCCACAAAGTATATGGACAAGAAAATAACTACCTGTAACCCGTTTACAAGAAAATCTATTCAAACTCTCCATGAAACAGTGTGATTCTTCCAGCTCCTGTAACAGACTGGTACACAAAGTAGTTCAGGTTACAGACAAAAGTCCTCTCCAACAGATGGAGATTTGACCGTTCTTTAGAGTTCAGCTGCCTATTACTAATTAAACAATTCATTTGTTGCTTTGAAAATAGGTTAAGTACACCAAAACACACAAACAAACAAAAATAATCAAGCAAACAAAAAGAAAAACGTTAATGGGGAAAAACCTCGGGTTTGACCTTTACAAGTAAACCCAGCGCCATCCACTGAAACCGTATTTCTGGAACCCTGTCCCCTGTGTGCCCTCCTGCAGCTCCACACAGCAGCAGGGCTCTTCTCAACCCCAGCTCTACCCACGGACATGAGAAATCACAGCGCTGCCAACTCAGAGCAAAGGCTCCAGGCTCTCATCTCTGAAAGAAAACCCTTCAGATCTGCACTTACGCATTTTATACAAAATCCACCAGCAATCCAAAAAGCTCAGTCCACCACAAAAACAACCCCTGGCTGCTGTTGGTACGTGTGTAGCTGGTCATGTGTTATCATGAGCAGAAATCCAGGGTCTGGAGCATCACTTCACCATGGGTATATCCCAGAAACACATGATCACAGAGATCCTGGCACCACTACCCGGGGTTCCTCCTGTGCCAAAAATAATTCTACCAGTTCTATACCTTTCCTTCCTCTTTACACCCAGCAGCAGCCAGGGCATCAATTCTTGTTTCTCAAGCCGTTACACTCTTGATTAAAGTGCTTTAACAGCCGTCACAGGTCAGACTCTAAACCAGATCTCTAGAAACCTTGGCAGATGGGGTCTGAAGGGAAATGCCAGGTATCTGCTGTGAGTCTGACAGTGGCGTTCCCTAGAGACAACTCACCTCCAGCTTTCCAAAATCCACTAAAACATCCACAGTCCCAGTTATACTGAGAAGAAGCGAGAAAACGAACCCATTGTGCAATTTCCACACGGTCTTGGCGCCTAGAAACACCCATTTTATTTGTTTATTGAATTGTCCTTTGCAGCTTTCAGTTCGTCCCTCGTGCAGTTTCTCTCTTTCCCACGAACAAGTACAGACACTCAGCAGATCCCTCGCCCCCCCACCCCCGCGTGTTC